ATGGAGTAATGGAGTGCAGCAGGGTGAAAGTTAATCAGTTATTGACAATTTTTTACTAAAAAATTTAAGGGTGTAGTTGTGACGCATCACCCCTGGAACAGAAAGCGTACAGGCTTCATTGCTGCAGATGCGATCTATTTATCGGACCTCGAATGGGGTTTTGTTTTTCTGGAATTACCTGGAGGGGGTAGAAAAGGCCTTGTTTGTGTTGAGAGGGGTAGCCCAAGCAGAGTAAGGGGTCATCCGCTAGGGCATTGGCAGAAGCTTGCTCCTGGGGATGGTCTATGGCCTCACAATGAGGATGTGGTGATAGCCTGGAAGTTATTTAGGGTTATGTTAACCCTGTGTTAAAAAACATTGTTATTGTCTAATGTTGTCAAAAGATTCAATATATGTGTAATGTAAATTGGAGGCAATTAATTTTTTCATAAATAAAAATGGCTGTGGCCTTTTCTACCCACTATGTCTGTGCCTTGTTGTTTGATTTATATTTAAAAGAACACTATAGGATCGGGAACACATACGTGTGTTCCTGACCCTGTAGTTTTAAAACTAGACATGTGCATTCGTTATCGGACGAATATGATTTCGTCCAAATTTTTGAACTTTTTCGTATTCTTTTACTATAACAAACGAAAGTCCTACATATGAATTATATATGAAATGAAAAGGCAAATGCTGAATGCATTACCTTTTCATTTCAGTTCTTTTGTTTAATAGACTCTGTGCTGCAGGAGAATTAACCCCCACAGCATTGAGGAGAAACAAAAAAACCTGGATCTTCCTGCAGCAGGAGACTTAAAGTGGCACTGTCATGCCGAGTGCACTGCGAGTGGGGGCCACTAAACAGGAGACCTAGTGTCCCCCGTCAGCCCACACCCATGAGCGGAGAGTGGGGGCCCTCACATACTATGGGGGCGGAGACCTATGCCTCCCCCCGGCACCCACCCATGAGCGGCGGGTGGGGGCCCTAAGATACAATAGGGGACCTACTGCCTCCCCCGGTCCCCACCCATGAGCAGCAGGAGGGGGCCCTAGTGACAATGGGGGGAACCTATTGTCCCAACCCTAGCCCCCACCCATGAGCGGCGGGTGGGGGCCCTAGTGACAATGGGGGGAACCTATTGTCCCAACCCTAGCCCCCACCCATGAGCGGCGGGTGGGGGCCCTAGTGAAAATAGATGGGCAGGTCCAATCAGGCAAGGCTCAAGAGTTGCCTATCAGAGCACTATTATTGGTTGGCTTAAACCAACCAATCAGAGCGCTCTGAGTCAAATTGCAGGGTGTGGGAAGGCTTTATAAGCCTTTCCCCACCCTGCGGAGCTCAGTCTGCGCTGTGCCCTCGCTGGGTGAAGATGGATTATATTTTTTTTGCGTCAGGACTTTTTTTTTTTGCGTAATTGTTTTTGCTCTCAGGATTTTTTGATTTATTGTACAAGTTCAACGGGAATTATGGATTTTAATTTGGCCTTTTTTTGGGGTTGAAAAAAGGTTTTAGAAAAAAGAAGACATCTAATGGTAAGTATGATTTATTTTTTTCAGATATTTAGCTTTTTTTTCTCACTATTTTTAGGATAAGGGGGGTAGATATTAATTAATTTTATTTGAGGGGGGTGACTAGGGGCTTGGGGACCCAAGTCACCTTGAGGGGTGGGGGGTTACTTTTACATTTAGCCCCCACCTGCTGACAATAGGTGGGGGCTGGGGGAGGCAGTAGGTCCCCATCTATCTTGGGGTCCCCACCCGCCGCTCATGGGTGGAGGCAGTAGGTCCCCCCTTATTGTATGTGAGGGCCCCCACGCGCCGCTTATGGGTGAGGGCCGAGAAGGGTCACTAGATCCCCCGTTTAGTGGCCCCCACTCGTGAGTAGCGAGTCCCCGTGGATTTTTTTTTAAAGGTGTCACTGGCTGCTCACTGTTTAGTAGACATGCCGGAAGTAGGGGAAGAAGGGAGATTTTAATTTCCCTTAATTACTAATAAGTAGTCTTTACTTAGTATTAGTAAATTTGGCTGAAAGACCAATTTAGGTTTTTCAGCCTTGTAGTAGATTGCTCCCTAATACTGTGGGAATTAAGGAGCTATCTACTCGCGGCACGAATAGGATCGGAGTTTAATTTATTCGAATGAAATTCCGATATGAACAAAAACTCACGAATTGCGTCCTAACACAAATGGACAAACTGTTCTCATTCTGTTAGATTTAACCTCGCTTTTGTTAATATGACTAGTCATAGTCTCCCTTGGTTTTAATGCAGCTGGTAGCGCTGCCGGCTCCCTCCTTGCATTTTTTTTGCGCATGCGCAGTGTTATTTTTGTCCTAATGGGCGAAAACAAATTGTTTTTTTAAATTGAATTTCCTCCAAAAAATTTATGTTTTACGGACAAAATTCGTAATGGACGAATGAAATTTTTATTTGGTATGAATTAATTCGTACGAAATGAGAATTTCACTGGTGCACATGTCTAGTTAAAACAAGTATGTCCTGGGTAATAATATGCGTTGAATCAATGCATCTCTATGAGAAAAACTCAGCATCCCTATGCAGAGCATGGGGACACTGAATTTCAGTGCTGCCTACTGTGCAGCACTGCCCCAGGAAGCACCTCTAGTGGCCATCTAAGGAGTGGCCACTTGGAGGTGTCCCTAGGGGCAATGTAAACATTGTCTTTTCTCTGAAAATGTCTGCAGGTAATGATTATACTCACCAGAACAACTACATTAAGCTGTAGTTTTTCTGGTAACTATAGTGTCCCTTTAACACAGCCTGGTAGATGAGGCTACAGCGGTCATGCAGCCCCAAGGAGACAAACAGGCGGAGAAGGGCCTTGACAGTTTTGCTGAGCAAGGCAGTATAGAAAGGGGGGGGGGCACTGTGAGCAGTGGGCATGTATAGGTTGGTAACAGTAACACTTCAGCCATTTTAGTTTTGCAACTGTCCTCTCCTTTTGTTGTCTCTTTCTCCCTAGTTTTATGGTTTATGGGGCTTGTGGTGTTGGGTGATACTTCCACGTTCTAACGGTTTTTCTTTCTCTTTCAGAGATGGCGGGTCACAAGGATTGCAGTGCTGGAGAAAATCTTTGTCGCTGCCTTGGCGGTGGCTTGCTCCTGGGATGGTCTATGGCCTCACAATGAGGATGTGGTGATAGCCTAATGGAGACTTGAAGTCGAAAGAGGGGCTTAGCCAAAATGGGGGCTGGACAGATGGTTCTGTTCCAGTGGTTGGATTGGCAGTGCCAAAAGAGATCATTGTCACAGTCTTGGCGGTAGCTTGCTCCTGGGGATGGTCTATGGCATACATGTCAAACTTGTGGCCCACAATTAATTTGTTTGCGGCCCAGCCAATCAGGGGTGCTGATCAAGGGGGTCAGAATGACAGGTGATTTTAGCACCCGCCTCGGCCTATGCTTCCTGCGGCCCCATGCAGCGTGCAGCTCCACGTGCTGTACACTAGGAGGGGGAGCACTTCCCCCTCCTGCTCTGCGTAGGAGCTGCGGGTGTCACGTAACTCACTGGCACTCAGTCTGTCAGCGCACTAGGTCAGGTAGGAAGGGAGGGGAAGGGAGATATGAATGGGGGAGAGAGACATGCATGGAATGGGTAGGGAGGTAGACATGGGGAAGGGAGATATGAATGGAAGGGGGAGGGAGATATGAATGGGGGAGATATGGATGGGGAGGAAGATATGGATGGGGAGAGATAAATGGATGGAATGGGTAGGGAGGGAGACATGGGGGAGAGATATGGAAAGGAGTGAGACATGGGGGATGAGACATGGATGGAAGGTGGGAGAGAGACATGGAGGGAAACATACATGGATAGAAGGGGGGGAAGAAGAGACATGGATGGTAGGGTGGTAGAAGAGACATTATTATTATTATTATTATTATTATTATTATGATATTTATAGAGCGCCGTCAAATTCCGCAGGGCTTTACAATGGGTGGACGAACAGACATGTAGTTGTAACCAGACAAGTTGGACACACAGGAACAGAGGGGCTAAGTGGGGTAAAATGACACAAAAAGGTAAGGATAGTATAAGACTAGTGACAATTGCAGAAGAGGAATCAGTCAGGAGCTATTAACAGTTTAATTGATACGCTTTTATGAAGAAGTGGGTTTTTTATGAAGACATGAATGAAAGGGGGGGAAGAAGAGACATGGATGGAAGGGAGGTAGAAATGAGCAGTGTGTGTAGCTCAGCTTACTCTGCCTGGAGATTGCAGAGGAACTAGGAAGCAAACATACACTCCAGACAGTGGCATTACTACAGAGATAGTAAGTAACTTGAGGTGAAGCTTTTAAATGAATTATATATATATGTACCCAGGATTAAATATTGTTTGCATGAGAATGATACAAGTAATTTTAGTTTGTGTTTGTCTAAGAAATTATTATTTATTTTTTATTGCGGCCCACCTGTGACAAACTCCCCTTTTCAAGTGGGTTTGCCACGAGTTCTTGGAGGGGCCTGCTTGCCGGCGTCCTGCCCACAGACTGTGGCTCTGCAGGGAAACCTGTAAAAGACTACTGAACTTGACCGACTGTTAGCACTGATTTCCCTGGGACTGTTTTGGGCATGGGGCCATGCTTGCAGTCGGTCAAAACTATGACTTCCAGGAAATTCCTGAACCGATCTGGGTGATTTTTGGATGTTGTTCATCCAGATCAGGGCTATCAGGGGATGTGACTTTATGGGGTTTTGTGTGTTTTTAAGGTACTTTGTGGGGTTTCATAAAATTGTATGTTTTTTCTGTGCTTGGAGATAATTAGGTTAGATTAGTATAGTTCCTGATTCAATTATCTCCCAAGCACAGAGGAGGGGTACTATTGTTTGTGTATGGGAGTGTCTCACTGCATGACATGTTTTTATTGGTTTGTTCCCTTTGTATCCCTGTGCCCAGCAAGGTCCACCTGGGTGTCGCCCTTGTTGGGAAACTTGCATAAAGGGCCAGTGTGCCTCCATTAAAATCCTATTCCAGCTTACACTCCAAAACTATGTGTCGTCCTGTTATTGGAGGGGAAGAAGATTTACTCCTGTGTCTGCTGTTCCAGCTTGCAGGGGATTCAACGGGGAAAGTCCTTGTAAGGACTAGAGCTAATTCCCCATTCGGCTACAAAAAGGTTCTAGGGCACAGTCAAGCCACGGCGACTGTGGGTAGAAGTACTGCGGTCCAGCTAGGAAGTACTGCGGTTCCAGCTAGGAAGCGGTCCTTGGAGGAGGTACCCAGCCAGGGGTACAGCGAGCTCCGTTACGCCATATAAACTTAAAACGTGTTTATTTGGCCCGTGTTAGCCCTTGAGTTTGACATGCTTGGTCTATGTTCTCATAATGAGGGTGTGGTGATAGCCTAATGGAGGCTTGGTGAGAGGTTTTGAGCCGGAAGAGGCAGACAGTTCTGTCCCAGCCATTGGATCGGTTCCAACACGGGGAACCCTGAGAGCAAGCTGGTGCTGGAAAGGTTAAATTGTTAATTATGATAATTACAGTTTGGAAGTTATTTGGGATTATGTTAACCCTGTGTTAAAAACATTGTCATTGCCTTTTTTTTTTTTTTAAATCATTTTTATTTTTCAGGAATGGTAATAGGTTATGCAAATCAATACAGACATAAATTGTGTATCGGGCTCGCAGGCCCGAGTTGTGTTTGTAAACATTTTGATCCATTTCGGGTAAAACATAACGCATTACATCAATCGTTATTCTTGGCGGTTTTATGTCTTGTCTGGATACGCATTATTAGCATTCAGTGAGTGATAAGTCATTGGGCTTGGAGTAATCGAGGGTATCCGTCTCCCCCTCCCCTCCGTCCTCTACCTATATAGCTTGGTTGTCCCTCAGTCTTCTCGTGTCCATCTAGTGTAGTCCAACCCTTGGTCCCCCGTGTCCTGCCATTGACTTGGTGGTTCGTGGATGTGGGTCCTCAGTCAGGTCGTGTATGTCAGTCGGTTTAATAATGGACCTCTTCCAATAACCTCCGGGCTGTTCGCCAGCCTCCCTAGCAATTCTAAGTGTATGGGTGAGGCCTGGGACGTATGGCCCTCTCCTTTCGTATTATTCAGTTCCCCTAATGTTCATGTTTATCTCCAGGGCTGGGATTGGGTTGGTAGCTTTCGAGGTTGGGAGGTTGTCATATATTCCTCTCCAGTATGTCTAGTATGATCTCTTCTAGGGTCTGTGTCTCACTCAACCTCTTGTATGTGTGTAGTCTTGGTGTGCAAGTAAGTGTGCAATTACCAAGCAATGACTTTAGCGTAGTTAGAAGGGTAGAGAGAGTAGAGGCGTTAGGTTTCCAGTTCCATCCAAGTTCCAGTGCACACAGTGATCCCAGTGTCCCTGTCCCTGGGTAGCCATAGTGGGATAGGGAACGCATTCCGTTAACGTCCCTTAGGTTATGCTCCCCCGCAGGTGTCCCCCCCCCGTCTCGCCCACCCTCCTAACGGTTGCGGGATATAAATACAAACCATGACTGCCATCTCTCTGCATGTTTGTCCCCTCTACCGAGCAAGGAGGCTTGCATCGCCTCCGCACCCTGAATGTCCTCTACCCTGTGGATCCATTCCTCTTCCCGAGGTAACTCTGTTTTCTTCCAGTATGCCGGGATCAGAGCTTTCGCCGCGTTGAGTAGATGGCGCATGATCGACTTTTTATAGGTCGCTATCGACATTTCCGTGATGTGTGGGAGCGTCAGTGCAGCCGACCATTCCGGTGAGTCCCCCAGAATTTCAGATATCTTCTGTCGGATCATCTCCCAGTATGGGGCAATCACAGTGCATTCCCACCATATGTGTATGGTCGTGCCCCTCTCCTCCCCGCATCTCCAACATGTTGGGGGTATTGTTGGGAAGATCTTGTTTAGTAGCGTTGGGGTCCTATACCATAGCGCGATCAGTTTGTAGTTTGTTTCCTGGTATCGTGAGCTGGTGGAGCTCTTGTGTTGCCATATCAGTGCCTTGTCCCAGTCTTGTGGCGTGAAGGAGGTATCCAGCATCATCTCCCAATGCCTGCGAAACGTATTATTCTCTGTTAGGTGTCCCACCAGGAGGTGTTGGTAGAGAGTGGATATCGCCTTTTCCAGAGGTAAGCCCTTTTCACAGGTCGCTTCAAACCATGTAAGGTCCCTGTGAATGCGGTGGTTATTGCACATTGTCTCATAGTAATGCTTTACCTGTAGGTATCGCAGCACTATCAGTGGTGAGCGGGGCCTGTCTCCCAGCAATGATTCTATGGTCCTCAGTGTGCCATCCCGTAGAATTGTGGAAATGGGGACATGTTCCCTATCTTCCTCGAAGGGCCATGCCTCTGTTGGTATGCTCCCCCAATCGCTTCGTCATCGGTGATAGAGATCATTGGGCTAGGTATGGGTGAAATATGCGGTTGTTCCCTCACGCGTTTCCAGCTCGCTATGGTTTGTGCAATCAGGTCCCCCTCTTCTCCATCGTTCACAGTCCTTGCCCCCCCTGTCCATATGGCCGCTTGTATGTGGGCCCCTCGTCTCTCTTTAGTCAGGGCTACCCATTGTTTGTGTGTTGTGTGTGTGTGCCACTCCAGAATGTGCTGCAGGACAGTGGCTTGGTGATAGCATTTGAAATCGGGCAATGCTAGTCCCCCTCGGTATCTTGGTAGACAGAGTATGTCATGTCGAAGCCTCGACTTCTCCCCTCTCCAGACATAGCGAATGACTGCCGACTTCAGCGCGGAGAAGAAGGGCGCAGGTATGGCCAGTGGTAGCGTTTGAAACGGGTATAAAAGCCTAGGCAGGATGTTCATTTTTAGAACTGCTATTCGTCCGTGCCAGGATATATGTGGGTAGGCCCATCTTTTTAGGTCCTCCATGATCGTTCTCAGTAGTGGGACAAAGTTCTGCGAGTAGAGATCTCCTGGATTATTTGTAATCCAGATTCCTAGGTATTTCATTTTCTGGGAGCACCATCGGAAGAGAAAAAGGTCATCCATAGCTATGTATTCCTCTTGAGGTACCGTGATGTTGAGCACTTCGCACTTGGATAAATTAAGTTTAAGACCAGAGATCTTGCCAAAGCATTCGAATGCCGCCAAGGCAGGCATGGCATCATGATTCTCGGTGATGTTACGTAGAATAAAAGGTCATCCGCGTACGCGGCCACCTTATGCTCTACCTCTCTCCAGGAATATCCCTGAATGTCTGGTTGCTGCCTGATGGTATGGAGTAAGGGCTCCAGGGTCATAGCAAAGAGCAATGGGGATAGGGGACATCCTTGGCGTGTGCCATTTGAGATCTCAAAGTCTGCAGTGAGTGCGCCATTCACCCTCACTGCCGCCCGAGGTTTGTTGTATAGTGCCTTGATCCATGTGAGGAGCCCCTGTCCCATTCCCATTTTGTTCAGCGTTGCGAACATGTAGGGCCATTTCACCCTATCGAACGCCTTTTCGGCATCTGTGGAGAGGAGGAGGAGGTGTTCTTGTGTTTTCCTCGCCCTATGTTGTATCGCGAACGTCCGTAAGGTGCTGTCTCGCGCCTCCCGCCCTGGGATAAATCCGGTTTGGTCTACGTGTATCAGAGCTGGTAGGATAGATTGGAGTCTAGTCGCCAGAACTTTCGTGAACAACTTAGTGTCCACGTTCAGCAGGGAGATAGGGCGATAGTTGCCGCACTCCGTCGGGTCCCTCCCAGGTTTTGGTAAAACAGTTATTATGGCTGCTAGGGATTCTGCCCCAAAATTCCCCCCATCTGAGAGTTTGTTGATAGCCTTTGTTAGCCATGGTAGTAATATCGATGTAAAGGTTTTATAATATCCTACGGAGAAGCCGTCCGGGCCTGGTGCTTTACCCGTTTTGGTTGATTTCAGGGCTGCGGTGATTTCTTCTATTGTAATCAGGGCGTCCAATATTTCTGCCTCTTCTGGGCTGATCGTTGTCATGACCGCCTCCTCCAGGTATTCCCGTATTCGGGTGTTTTCCGTGTCTATCTCGTCTCGTCTGTCACGCATGTGTATATTGTAAAGGGTCTGGTAGTATTCCCGAAATTCCTCTGCTATTTTGTTCAGGAGATTCGACATGGCTCCTGTCGAGAGGCGCAAATTACGTACCTGTGTGCGTGGTGTGTTTCCTTTCAGTAAACGTGCCAAGTACCTTCCCCCTTTGTTGGCGTGTGCGTAGAAGAACCCCTTGGATCGCTGAATCGATCGGAGGTATCGTTTCGTTAGGATGTCCTTCAGGCGCCGTCTGGCTTGCATTAGTTCTCCGTATGTCTCCATCAGTTGGGATCGCTTATGTCGTTGTTCCAATACCTCGATCGTTTTGTAAAGTTCTGCCATCTCTCGTGTCGCTATCTTTTTCTTTTGAGAGGCGATTCGGATGAGCGTACCCCGGATAACACTTTTATGCGCCTCCCAGATCGAAATTGGGGAGGTCCCCTGCCCATCATTGTCCTGAAAGTAATGTTCCAGTGCCTGGGAGACCTGTTCGCGAACTTCTGGGTCGAGAAGGAGGGCCTCATTGAGTCTCCATGTCCACTTAGAGGGACGAAAGAGCGGAGATTTTAATTCGATCGTTACCGGGCCATGGTCTGACCATGTTGCGGGATCTACCTTGGCGGATAGCAGTCGCTGGAGGCCCACCTGTCGTATAAAAATTTAGTCTATCCCAGAATACCGATCATGCAATGCAGAGTAGTAAGTAAAGTCTTTGGTGGTTGGATGGAGGGTTCTCCAGCAGTCCACCAATTCCATGTCCCCAAGGGCCCTCTTCATGGATCGTATATGGAGTTGTGGGATGCTGCTATGTCCTGTCGAGGAGTCCATAATGGGGTCCAGTGGGGTATTAAAGACATTGTCATTGCCTTATGTTGTTATAAGGTTCAATATATTTAATGTTAATTGGAAGCAATGACTGTTTTAATAAATAAAATTGGCTGTGGCTTTTTCTACCCACTATATATGTGCTTGTGGCTACAACTGTCAAGAAACAGTACCATTCCATAACAACTTCAGCTCATTGCTTCACAACGGTTTAACAGGATAATTTATTTTTGTAGTTTGCAAAAAATTTTTTTTAAATGTTTCTAGCATTTTTATTAAGATATCTCATCCACACTGCGGTTGTTTATGCTTTATATGTAGATTACAAAGCCTTCTTTCACTATAATATACAAGGCCCTGGGGAGATAGCTAAGCGGACAAGGGCACATGTAGGAGTGTGGGGATAGATGTGTGGGAGTGGTTTGGGAAGATTGTGTGGGTGGTG